AAATAATAAATAACCTCTAAGTCAATATTGCACTTCGACCCCTCTATGCATAATTAGTTATCGGATAAATATAGCCATCAATCCGACTACTTAATCAATATATTTATTTTGGTACCTTTGATTATTTCTGGCTCGATCACAATAAAACATTTGTTTGACAAAAATAATAATTTAAATAAATAAATATATAATAAATCATTTTGTCTAAAAACACACGAAGGCCTTCGAATTTACTTTGTGATCAACCATAATCAATACAAAATAAATACAAGTAGCAATGATGCAAATATTGAAAATATAACCCTCTAACTATTAATTACATAACTACCCAAAGTGTCGGTCTAAGGATCCCGAAGAATCCGCCGAACAAATCAAAGTAATTATTAATTAATAAAAGAGTCTATACTTTTCTCATGCTTAAGAGTCAAATGCCATGACGGTGATAGGGAGCAATTGCATACGACGGCTCTCGCAATATATCTTAACCTAACGCGGATCCAGTTCAAGTCTTAATTAATTATGAGTCCATCCATAATTACCGACTATGAACAATTTATAATTACTATTTATATATCATGCATTGATTGCCATCACATACATATATATAAATATTTCTTGTAATTACATGGACACTATCAATTTCATAGTGAATCGAAACATAATACATTGAATTCACCAATTATATAAATCATAAATATTTCAGATATGTCAGGAACATATGTCACTATAATCCAGATAGGAATTTGCTATGCCAGGGCATATAAATCCCAACAGTATAATATTTGGTTGAGGTGTATTTTGAGGAAAGAGAATTTCAGAAGTCCAACAAGAAGGACCCCGGTAACTTGCAGTGTTGCTGGAGAGATTAGTCATGTAATTTTTTTTTTAATTTTGGTGGCTATCTCTGTTATGAATTGTCTTGATTTGAATTGTTTTATTTTGATTTTATTTCATTTGTAGCCTAGTCTACCTATAGTATAGGACATTAATACCCTGTAGTCTTGTAAGTTATTTCAATAAAAATTTCTCTTATTCATATATATATATATATATATATATATCGTCTTTACTCTATCCTATCACTGATATTACACATTCAATTCTCATATCACCATTTTTGTTCTGTGTGCATCTTGCTTATTCCATTGCATGCTGATCCTTGGGCATACTATTGCATCTTGTGCATCTTATTTATCTTATTGTTGTCTAGTCGACAGTTTTAGGTTTTGTGTATAAAGTAATATACTGGATTTTGAAGTTTACAGACATAGAGGTAGCACTAATATTAGTAGTATTTTGTCTAGTACTATTTTTTTTTTTTTATTAATTTACCCCGTTATTTATTTTACTCATCCTATCTTATTTTATTTTTATTTTACTTCTGACAGTCACTCTCCCATTGCCGATACCCAAAATGTGAACGGAGGTGGGTAAGTGTTCAGTTGTCCATCTAGGTTGAATCATTTTGATGAATTCTCACTCAGATAGAAATATCACAAAACCTATATGATAAAAACGTAACAAGTAGGCTAAACAGAAAACTTTATAGGAGGGATATTTGATCTACTATATTGTATGGAAAGGAGTGTTGAGCCCTAAAATAGAAACAAAGACCACACCTTCATGTAACAAAAATAAGAACGTTAAGATGGATGTGTAGAGTGACTAGAAAAAATATAACAATGTAATATAAAAACTGGGGTGACATTTATCGGTTAAAATATAGATAAAGTAGGCTTAGATGGAAATATAACAGTGTAATATAAAAACGGGTGACATTTATCGGTTAAAATATAGATAAAGTAGGCTTAGATGACAAATTCCACTTTATTTGATCAAGTTGTAATTTTATTTTTATTTTGGGTCTTGATCATGGAGCTAAATAACATATTGGACTTTTCTAATCAGTTAAATATCAGATTGGATTGCTTTGGTTCTGCATATTGACTTTCCTAAAGAGCCCAATAGTTTTGTGTAAAATAAATAAATATAATTTGTATAAGTTCATTAGTAATGCATCAAGAGGTGTAATTAATACAAGTAAAGTTCAAAGGAACATAATAAGCACAAAAGTAAATAACTAAATAATAACAAAGAATATACTTCAATCAATGTGATTAATACTAATAATAATAATATTTGTATGTATTGTATAAGTAATTAATTGATTTGGTTAAATTGGTTGGAATTGGAATTTTGGAGACTCAAATTGGTGAATCGAAATTTATAGTTTATGTATTTTTTTTAACTCCAAATGAATTAATGGACTAAAAAACAAATCAAAGTGCGCAGATCTCGATCGAATCAAATTCACAAATTAAACTCCAACCTACTTTCAAGATAGAGATGTTACTAGTCGATAACTTTAAAAGATAGTCAGGACCAATAGTATAATCAAATCACTTACAACTTTTTAAAGCATTAAAATATGAGCGGTGCTACACGGCCCAACTGTATTGCACCCGATATCTACCGACTCATCAACGTGGCTATCCACGTTGCTATCTTCTCTCTGACTCATCCATAGTCCTCGCTGCCATCTTTCCTCAACCAAAATCGCCGCCATCATCTCCCTCCTTATACCGCCACCACTTCTCAACCACAATCGCCGCCGCCGCCATCACTTCTCCTCTACCACAGTGGTCGCCGCCATCTCTCTCCACACAGTATCACCCCTTGGGTTCCATAACCACCACATCTATTCTCCCTTTATTTCTTCTGTGTTTTCTATACATACATATAATTATATACACAGGCCCATACACATATATATCCAACTGAAATCATATACTGCCCAAACGGAGACGATGGATTCTTTGGATTGCTTTGATTACCACTTGCTGGGTTTGGCTTCAGCTTCAGCGAGAACTTGAGCCAGATCATGAAGGCACTGTTGGCGAATGCGAAGATCTCTAAGGATGCGAAGGAGACGGTGCAAGAGTGCGAGTCGGAGTGCATCAGCTTCATCACCGGCGAGGCCTCCGACGATTTGCTTTTTGCTTTCAGCCCATTTGTTTCCTCAATTTGAACATCAATTTCGACAAGAAGCTAACCCAATTTCTTCTCCAATAACCCAATTTCAAACTCTTTCTCTCTTCCCCTTCTCAATCTCACTCTTCTCCCTCACAACTTCCCTCATTCTCTCTCTAGTTTCTAGAATCTCCCCTCACTCTTTGCTCTTTCTCTCACAAACCCATTTCTCTCCTCCGCAATCACTTCAACTTGTTGATTGACATGCACAGAAACAAATTCAGAAACCAAGTTCCTCTCCAACTCCGGTCCCTTTTCCATTTCAGACTGTGTTATCTCTGATTCCAAAGACCATTTTTCCTGAAGGAGTGAGTTGTAACGACCCTCACCCTGGCCAAACACAATATTGTCCGCTTTTGGCTCACCCAGACCAGAGACTTCCCAGGGGGTCACCCATCCTGGTACTACTCCAAGTTAAGCACGCTTAACTACAGAGTTCTGATGGGTTCACGGCCATCACGGCTTTAAAACGCGTTGTATCATAGAAGGATATTGAATCTACATATAGCACTTGCCCCATCCACACCCAGACGATGTGGGATTGTGCACCTGTAGCTCGCCCAGTGTGGTAGCCTACTGGTGCCCCCTGCACACGCTCACACACACCCGCCCACAAGGTCGCCACATGAGTCTAGTTGTTTGCGGCTCTTAGTGGTCTCCTTGAGAAGAATACTGTTTGGGGTGGTTTGGTGGAATTAGCGGCGGTTGTGGTTGGGGGGCGGTAAGAGGAGGAAGAGAGAGAACAAAGAAAGGACAAATGAGAGAGAAGAATTGGACAAAGCTCTGGCCTCTGGAATCAACCCGTGTCGTCCTTTTGGCGCAATCCTCGGCATGAAGCTCTGGCCTCTAGGATCAACCCGTGTCGTCCTTTTGGCGCAATCCTCAGCGTAAAGCTTGGACTGATCTGGAGTACTGTGAAGGCAGAGAGATGAGAGGCGCCGCAGGAGAGAGAAGGGAGAAAGATGAGAGGATTGAAAAAGATGAGAGAGAGTAAAGTTGTCTGCCTAGCTGTACCAATCAACATTTGATAAGTGGTTGTCGATTAAAGTCGAGTGAACAGTAATCAAGTCATTTAGCATTTCTCTTAAAGTATCTCTCTAAAATAGTTCACTTTAAAATATCAAATTATTTAGGTCAAACTATTGAGTCACTATGATGATTGGTCTCAGACCCCTGCTATTTCTCAAAACTAGTGGAGTAGTAGTATCCAAGAATAGAATCTCAAATGGGTGTGTGTAACGGGTGGGCGCTTGCCCATTTACCCAAAAGCTCGAACTGTTGGGTAGTGCTGCATACCCACCCATTTATACCCATGTCACTTCCCATCCAGATCCGATGTGGGACAAGTTTCCCCTTGTAACATTCTCCCCCACCCGAACTCGCAACGCCCTCGTTGCGGTCGGGCCACCCTGCCTACTCGGGGTGGCACACCCGGAAGCCTTCCGGGCTGGGCGCTTGGCGTGGCACCGGATCAAGGATTAGGTCTGGCTCTGATACCAACTGTAACGGGTGGGCGCTTGCCCATTTACCCAAAAGGTCGAACTGTTGGGTAGTGCTGCATACCAACCTATTTATACCCATATCACTTTTCATCCGGATCCAATGTGGGACAAGTTTCCCCTTGTAACAGTGTGGGACCACAATTGAAAGGTCCTTAATTAGTGTTTTTTATCAGTACTCTGGAAAAGGATGCCAAGGCCTGGCTGGCTGGCTGTTACCCTGACTAGCGTTAGTGAAATGACTTAACTGACCATTGAACTAAGCAAATTTACATAACTAGTTTAAGGGTGAAGTCTAGAAAACACCCCCTCTAATTTGTTTTGGTGCGAATTACACCCTCTAATTTGTTTTGTGCATATAAATTTACACTAAATGCTACTAGTACAATGTTGCAACTAACTGCCCCCGGCCAGACTTCTGATAGAGAATGTGTTAAAATCCAAAATTGCCCTTTCATATTCCATAATTGCCCCTCACCATATTCACGGCCCTCAGCTGTGTGTTGGGAAATAACTCACCACCGACCTCCTTGCTCAATATGAGCACATTGTTGTGACTCCATTTTCTGATCAGTTCCTCATTGCCGGTATCGGTCCTCCCCTATTTCCTTGAAGAGAGAACGGCGATGGAGAGTTTGGAGCAAAGACAGCAGGTAAACCCAATTTGATTTCTCTCTAAGCCAATACCCTAAATCTTAGTGAGAGAAGAGTGAAAATTTCAGAGATAGATAAGGAAGAAAGAATTAAATTCAAATTCAAACCCAAATCTTAGAGAGAGAGGCGGCGGTGCTAGCGACTGTTAGAGTCGCGATTCCGGCGGCGGCAGCCAATGAACGGCGGTGATGCGTGGCAAGAAGCGGCGCCGGAGCGGCTGTTCAAAGTCCTCGACGTTTTCGAAACGGTTAGGGATTTGAGTTCTTAACGAACGGTTAGGGACTGACTACGTTCCAGACCCTTGTTTGTTGGTCTACCTCTTTTTTCTTTTCTTTTCTTTTCTTTTGTATTCTATTTTTTTCTTCTTCTTTGTACCTTGATTTGTTGATATGATGTTGGTATTTGGGTGTTTGATGAATTGATGTTATAAATTGGGTTGGACTCTGTTGAGAGAGGGAGAAGAGAAAGAGAGGTGAGTTTGTTTGGGGTCAATTATGCCTACTGCTAGGAAGGTTTATGGGCTTTACCGAGAGGGCACTAACTGGTATGTTCTCTCTCTAAAGTTTCTTTAATGCTCTTTGATTCAATTTTATATCATATTATATATTAATTTCATGTCTTAGTATGTTTATTGAATTTTATTAATTAACTTACCACGATGAGCAACTGTGAAGATGGTGTTGAAGGTGCTGTCCACCGGTGGGTCTCTGATAACAGGGGTGGTCTCTGTTTTGTCCGCCTTTGATGAAGATGGTGGTGTGTGGATTATCCGCACGCGACCCCTAAATTAATTGCACATTTTCCATGCTGGCACAACATCTGCTTTGGGAGTATATTTACTTTAGTCGTGTAAAAAGTGGGAAAGGAAGACTTTGAGGACTTCTGATTTCGATTTGCTCTTGTTTGCCCTCGGCCAACCCAAAAACTATCTATGGCTTTCTGAATTAATATCGAATAAAAAACAGAGAAACACCCCCATGATGTGAAACATGAGTGAATCATCAAAGAATTATGGCTGTACCATAATTCTTTTCTTATATTCTATTTTTTCCATGTTGACGGTAATCTTTGATGCAGTAGAATTAGACACCATAACTACAACTCAATCTCTTACTGATGGGCAGACCATGGTCTCTTCAAATAGAACATTTGAACTGGGATTTTTCAGCCCCTCAGGTAGTAGTTCTGGGAATCGATACTTGGGAATATGGTACAAGAAAATATCTGATGGGACTGTGGTATGGGTTGCCAACGGAGATTCTCCACTTACTGATACATCAGGAGGAGGTGTCTTAAAGCTCAGTAATGGAGGAATTCTCGTGCTTGTCAATAGTGCAAGCAACATCTTCTGGTCTTCTTCAAATTCATCATCAAATAACAACAAAGTGAACCCAGTTGCACAGCTTTTGGATTCGGGTAATCTTGTTGTCAGAGATTCAAATGATGAGAATTTCCTATGGCAGAGTTTTGATTATCCATGTGACACTTTGTTGCCAGGCATGAAGCTTGGAAAGAACCTAGTAACCGGAATTGATCGGCGTCTATGGTCAGGGAAGTCCAGTGATGACCCTTCTAAGGGTGAGTATTCTCATGGACTTGATCTTCGTGGGTTCCCAGAATTAGTTCTCCGGAAAGGTTCAGTTGAGCAATACCGTTCTGGTCCATGGAATGGTGTCTCCTCTAGTGGGTCAGTGGGTTTAAAACCAAATAGCATCTACACATACCATTTTGTTATTAATCAGCAGGAGGTGTATTATGAATATATGCTTATTAATAGCTCAGTTTTCTCATGGTCGGTTTTGAATCAGAATGGAATTATACAACGCTTCATATGGAATTATAAAACACAGGATTGGACAGTTTACGGGAATACACCAGCAGATAACTGTGATTTTTATGTGCTGTGTCAGGCCTATGGTAGCTGCAGCATTGGTAACTCCCCAGTCTGTGGGTGTCTTGATAAATTTATACCAAGATACCCAAAAGATTGGGACACAGCAGATTGGTCAGGTGGGTGTGTTCGAAGAACGCCCTTGGATTGCCACAATGGATCATCAAATGGATTTCTCAAGTATTCCGGTGTTAAATTGCCTGGCACGCGGTATTCCTGGTTTAATAGGAGCATGACACTAAAGGAATGCGAGACGGTATGCTTGAGAAACTGTTCTTGTATGGCTTATGCCAATTTAGACATAAGAGGAGGAGGAAGTGGCTGCTTGCTCTGGTTTGATGACCTGATTGATATTAGGGAAATCCCTGAAAGTGGGCAAGATATTTACATAAGAATGGCCTCCTCTGAGTTAGGTATGTATGATATATATCCCCAAACACATAGATAAGTTAGTCGCTTTTACATTCTGGTGTGGAAATAAAAGAAAGTTGCCATCTTTTTAACAGAAAGGAGGCATGTAGAAGCTCTCACAAATGCAAAATTAGTTTTAGAAGGGCTTTAAACAATATTGTTACCAAAGAAATTTGAAAGTATTTTAATTGTGAAAGTACACCTAAGCTAACATGTTTTTTTACTAATAGCAATTTTATGACAGGTCTACCAATAAAAGTGCTTTTTTTCATTCTAACAGAAATGTCAAATGAGCCCTTAGTTTTTATGTTCACCTTTCTTTTCTTTCTCTGCCAACTTTTCTTCCAATTCAGTTACAACCGGGGGATGAGCACTTGGCCTTTTTACCACCATTAAGTCCGTAAAGGCACCTAGTTACTTTCCTTATCAGTGCAAGAAAAATTATTTAGTTTTGGGGCAAAGAAGCAGCGAATATGCTCAAATTGACTGCTGATGATGAAATTGAGCGGTCACAATATTAGGACTACCTATGATGCAAGGTTCAAGGTTGAGCTGCGCTAGGCGAAAAACAATAAACAAGTGCCACTAGGTTTGTGGTCAACAAAGTTGCCAAATGAAATTGTCCATGATGCTGAAACTTGAAGGACTTCTGAAATTGGCAGTTTTGATGTCAACTCCATTTGGGGTGAGTCCTAAACCAAAAATAATAATATTAAGTTATTTTAGACAGGTGTTTCCTAAACCAGAAAATGATATCAATTGATTTAAGATTAGGTCGAATTGCAGCAAATTTGCTGCAATTACTCTTCTTAAAATGCCTGCTTCATGGTTGGCCTTCAGGATGAATTACACCAGTGAAAAAAAGACTCCTAAAGGCAATCATTTACCGAAAAGTGTCTTCTTTTACTTCTGCTTTATTTCTTAGTTTCCCTGCCTTAAATTATAGTTGCTTTACATTGTGGTAAATTTTGACTGTGCAGAGAGTCCAGAGACGCATAGCAGCGCCCATGTAAAGGGACGATTGAAGATTATAGTCCTTCCTATATTACTTACAGCATTGGTACTCCTAGGCCTATTCCTTCTCTTGTATTTCTTAAGGAGGAGGAAGCTGAAGAGAGAAGGTAAGATATCTAGAAGACTCAAAGTACTTCCCTTTCCTATTTCACAAAGAAAACTACAAGTTCTTACCGAGGCAAATCCAACCCCATTTTTTAGTAGAGTCCAAGTTTCTATTTTATGTCTGTCTCATGTCTTGTTGGCATCATATGTCAAGATTTTCAAATTTATTTCCTCTACCACTTTATCTTGGTCTCATTCTGTACCTCTTCATTTTAATTGAGCCACTTTAGCTTTACAAACAAGGGCAGGTTGTTATATTCTGATGTTTCATGTACTGTGAAGTGTACCAAAAGCAAGCTTTTTGAATGCTATTAACTTTTGATAAAGTCATCCAACCATTTTTTTTTTGGCAAATAATCTCTAAAATGGACCTATCAGATTGTGCATCTTAATCATAATCCTTTCCCTTGGGTTTACATGACTTTTTCAGGATGAGTGTAGAGACACAGAAGTTGTCTGTTATGTTGCTTGTCCTGAAAACATCTGTTGACCACCATCTAAGTTTGAGTTGTTAGAGATGGTATAAGTTGAATATTTAGATCCTACATCACGCCCCATGGGTGGCCTTATTTTGGTCCAACACATGTTTCAATTTTAATTATCAAGGTAGAAGAGCTCTCCAACTAGAGAAGGAGATTAAATCTACCAAAATCTGCTATAGTATTATAGAAGATACAATATGTACTATTAGAGAAGGACAAAACTTCTAGGTGAAGATTCTTTTGTAAGACCTAGAGAAGATTGTGGTGCTAGTGAGTAGTGACATCAATGGTCATCATGAGAGTCTCATAACAAATAAACAAGTAGCTAATCCGGCCTCCTAGAAATTTACCATTTGGAACCAATATGGTTTTTGCACTGGGAGTGACAGCAATGCCGCTATAGATGACATCTACTGAAGTAGGCAAATGATTAAAGAAACAACTCAATGCTGCTAAAAAGATATCTAAGGGTGTCATTACTTAATGTTGGCATTAGTTCACTTTCTTTTCTGCTAATATAAACAAAGGAGAACAGCTTTGACATCTCAATTCTTGTTCTATCCACTGGTGTTGTGTCATGTCCAGGTTTTTTGGACATGATAACATAAAATAAGCTCTTATAACATTAATGATAAACCATTTCAATATTCCAACTTTTCAAATTAAAACAAACATAACAACTGAAAAAAAACATCGTCTTAAACTTTAGTTTCAAGAGCAATATTATAATTTTTTTTATTTTTATTTATTTATTTATTTTGCCTTGAAAATGGTTAGTGGTTAGCTGGGAGAGGGGGGAATCGAACCTAGGATCAGTAGGGTGGGGGGCACTAAAAGCCTGGCCCTTTATCACTCGGGCAACACCACCACGCCTAGAGCAATATTATAACATACCTGTACTCACAAATAACTAAGTCTAAGTAACATTGAATTAAAATATTAGTAATAATAATAATACGAATACTCCAAACACAATTCAAATTTGAGTTACAACGTCAAATCTCAATCCACAGAACAATCCCCAACATGAATATTGCACACGTCAGCAAATTCCTGGTCATTCTCCAGCGGACCGCTAACACCCAACTAACTTCCAGAAAATGGTTATAAATGTACGAGCGCACACATGCAATTCACTTTCAAGAACATATAACATACACAAATATTAAAGAAACAGAATTATTTTAAGTTTGATCCCATCTATTTGGACATATAAACTGAGAGAAAATCTCCTACCTTGTGTTGAATAACTCCACAAGAAAAGAGTACGCTCTAGAAGCCTTACTCTTCACAAACCAACCTACTCCACTCCATATGTAAAATGAGTTTTCTTTCTTTTTGTTATTCCCTCAAATGATTAGCAATCTACCCATCCGGATTCTAATTTATAGGTGAATGCAGAAAATATAAAGTCGTGTAATTAATGTATAAGGAATATATAGAATCATGTAACTATTGTAACTTCTGGACCATCAAGTATCAAGATGTCCGGGTCATCAAGCATCAAGCTACTTAAGAGGTGAGTCTTATAATTTTGTATGACTCTGCATATTATTTTATTTTATTCGAAATAAAAGCTCATTTAACCATGTATCACACCAAAGGTCACATTCATAAAGTCATTGACCCTTTATTTGTTTTTTTATTTAATTTTTAATGATAATAATGTATTTTAACTTTAATATTTCAAAATTACGGGTTCTCACATGTTGCTTTCAGCTAACCAGGTTCTTTTTCTTTCTTCTTATACAAATGATTATCATGATGCAGTTGTATTTAAGAGTGTCATGCCATACTATTCTGGAAAGAGAGTCAGGGTGATCCCTTAGCGAAGGACCCCTTATTTTCTGTTAATATGACAAAGGACCCCTTATTTCACATTCATTAAGTCATAGACCCTTTATTTTATTTTTTCTATTTTAACGATAATAATATATTTCAAAATTTCGGGTTCTCACATGTTGCTTAAAAGTTTCTTTTTCTTTTTTCCTTAAACAAATGATTATCATGCCGCCGCTGTATTTGAGAGTCTCATGCCATACCATTCTGGAAAGAGAGTCAGGGTGATCCATTAGCATGCCAGACGGTTATTTGAGTGATGACAGTTATCTAGTTTCATCTATAACATTTTTTATTTTTCAGGTATGGAAACTAAGAATGAAGACATCGAGTTTCCATTTTTTGATCTGGACGCTATTGCAAATGCCACTAAGAACTTCTCTTCCACAAATATGATCGGAGAGGGTGGTTTTGGTCCTGTTTACAAGGTTAAATAAGTAATCTTTGGTTCAATATCTAATCAAAAAGTGAACCCCATGATTTTAACATTGCTATTCAAAAACTTGTAGGGTAAGCTAAAAACGGGACAAGAAATAGCAGTCAAGAGGCTTTCAAATAATTCTAGACAAGGTCTACAAGAGTTCAAAAATGAAGTTATGTTGATATCCAAACTTCATCACCGGAATCTTGTTAGGCTATTGGGTTGTTGCGTTGAAGGAGAAGAGAGGATGCTAATATATGAGTACATGCCGAACAAAAGCTTGGACTATTTTATTTTTGGTCTAGTTCTCTTAACCATTTATCTTATTATACCAATTTCATAGTGCGGTTTATGCAGCAGAGTCCTCTGCCCTATTTTTCCCTATTTTTAAAATGATAACTGATGTAAAGCTTATATGGATGGAAATGTCATGCAGATCAGAAATAGAAAACTAGAAATTCCATGGCAAAAGCGATTTGAAATTGCTATGGGAATATCAAGGGGACTTCTCTACCTTCACCAGGACTCAAGATTAAGAATCATTCATAGGGATCTCAAAGCCAGCAACATTTTACTAGATGATGAACTAAGCCCCAAAATTTCCGACTTTGGGATAGCAAGAAGTTTTGGGAGAGATCAAATTGAAGACAAAACAAAGCGAGTAATCGGAACATGGTAAGTTTTGCAAACAAATGTCAGATAGTACTTGTTCAAGATTTTCAAATGCTTAAATTTCATAATTTTATGCAATGGTTGCATGTTGCCGGAGTATGCCATTGATGGGAAATATTCAGTAAAATCTGATGTATTTAGTTTAGGTGTGCTTTTACTGGAGATAGTGAGTGGCGAGAAGAATAGGAAATTTCATCATCCTGATCACTATCATTCGCTTTTGGGACATTTATGGTGGTGAAATGTACTCTATTTTGTCTTATTTTTCTCTCTAACTTCCTTTGCGAATTACTAAATTTGAGGATTGTGATTGTTATAGGCTTGGTTGCTATGGAATGATCACAGAGCCCTGGAACTAGTGGATTCATGTTTGAAAAATTCATACATTGAATCTCAAGTACAAAGATGTATTCAAGTGGGACTACTGTGTGTTCAAAAACTGCCAAAAGACAGACCTTCCATGTCATCAGTAGTTTTCATGTTGTGTAATGAGGGAGTGGCATTGCCTGAACCCAAACAGCCTGGTTTCTTTGTTGATAGAAGTTCCATGGATGCAGAGACATCAACAGGTGAGAGCAGTCATACTGGAAATTCCTTGACAATAACAATAATGGAAGCCAGATAGAAGTAGCACCTTTTTCATACTGTTGTAGTGATGGAGTTTATGCATATCAAGAAAAAATGAAGAAGATTGTAATGTATATTCATGGATTGTTTTATTTTTTAAATCAATTTTCTTGATAAGTTAGCTTTGACTGCTATTCACCCATTGTAAAGAATTGGACAATGAGAAGTGGTTGGGGTTAACATATCCTCACATTATGTTGACTATTCTTTTTCTTTCTTTCTTTTCCCTAGGTCACATTATATTGACTATTCAACTGTAGAAATTTTTTAATTTGTTTTAGTGTTAAGAATTAAAGTCAACTTTTGTGTCTAGAAGATGAACCTACCTTTCTGAAATTCTGATGGAATTAACCTTAGGCAGGAATTTTCTGAAAAATTGACTGCAGGTTTCAATTTAATTGTGAGAATCAAATCACTTGCTCAAATGAATGTCCTTGAGTCTTTCTGGATTATGCATAGAAGAATGTAAAAATCATATCAGAGACTACACAACGTAATGCCAGCGAAGTGTTACAAGTAGAACTTGTCCCACATCAGATTTGGATGGGGGTTGAAGTATGTATTAATGGGTGGGTATGTAGTACTATCCAATAGTTTGAGTTTTTGGATAAATAGGCAAGCGCTCACTTATTATAGTTATCAAAGTCAGACCTAGTCTTTAATCCGGTGTCACGCCAAGCGTCAGGCCCAGAGGGTGTCCGGGTTTGTCCCCGTGTAGGCAAGGTGGTCTGACCGCAACTAGGGCGTTGCGCGGGTTCGAGTGGGGGAGAATGTTATAAGTAGAACTTGTCCCACATCGAATTTGGATGGAGGTTAACGTATGTATAAATGGGTGAGTATGCAGCACTACCCAATAGTGCGAGCTTTTGGGTATATAGGCAAGCGCCCACCCTTACAGAAGGCATACATACATTAAGCATTTATTAGAAGTATTTTGACATAAGCATATGCTTCACAAGTATATTTTCATGCTAGATTTCTGAGATACAGACTTTCACCTTGAAGTTCCTTTTCCCATGTAATATGCAATATTCATATCTATGCCATTAAGCAAACAATATATATATAATTTCTGAGATACAGATTCTCACCTTGAAGTTCCTTTTCCCATGTATATGCAATATTCATATCTATGCCATTAAGCAATATATATATATAATGAGTACTTATCACATGGTGTTCACCCCCCTAAATAACCCTAATGGAGTATGCTTTGTTGAATGATAAGTGCTGCATTTAGTTTATGGGATGCAAATGAACCCCAACAACTTGTCATTGTCCAATTCTTTACATGATTTTTAGCTCTTCAAAAACTATATCATGATCAGTATTTATCATGAAAAGTACTTATACTTCTGACACGGTTCAATTTGGTTGGTTCAATTTGCCTCCATTGATTTTATTTAAAAAAAAAAAAAAAATTGTTTATTTATTTGTAGACAACATGATCACACAGAATATGAGTGAAGGGAACTTTACCCTCATTGTATCATCAAAATTAAACTTAGAAGGTTCAACTCCCTTTTTTCAATAAAGAAAATGACCAGCATTACCCCCATCTTTCATCTTTTCAGAGGATTTTCACCTATTCATTTTTCTTTTTTCCTCATCCTTCGTCTCTGAACAGCAACAATTCTTCCTAAACATTTCCTTCTGACCATAGTCCTTAGCAGGAAAGTAGCAACAGGTAGGTTTGGACTCTTTGCAGAACTCGGTATGGTTCAGTAATCCATCATATTGGGTAATCACCCAAGCCAGTGCCAATTACAGAAACCGGGATTCCCAGACTGAAAGAGCGAGAAACATTATGCCTTTGAGATTGATGCATTTTGCCAGTTTTTGCATATGCCATTTCAGGAGGAGGCGACGTGATCTTAATTCATTCGGACTCACAATGCATTAGCAAATCTAAATTTAGATTACTGGCATAATCTGTCATTGCAGCTAACAACTTTTGCTTCAGAATGTGTCTCATGTCTACTTTTGCTTCAGAATGTGTCTCATGTCTACTTTCTTATATGGTGCTTCTTCAGCTACTAGAAGAGTGAAGTGAATATGTTGATCACATCTAGTCATCTACTAACTAGTCTCAGGATAACTGGCAATCTCAAACCAGTAGAAAGCTAGTATGGTGAATTGCCACTTCTAAGGGACATTCTAGAGAGAAATCCAACTGCCATAATCATGGATTATAATTCAAGAAATGTACCCACTATTGTATGAATATATAGAAAGGAAGTAATTTATGTCAACTGATACAAGGCAAAATAATAATAATAATAATAATAATATATTGACAAGCTATAAAATGAAATTATTATATCGATTTTTATTATCAAATGGCTTCTAAACACAAAAATGGATGATTTCTGACTAATATCCACCTCCACTTTAAGTTGTGACCAGGAGATACACAAGGCCCTTCAGATATTCCACTATTTCAGATCCTCCAAGCTTTGAACTTCCGTAAACTCTGTCAACGAACGTAATTGGAACCTACAGGCATGGTAATTTAAAATAAAAAATAAAAAAAATAAAAAAAAGGAGAAAATTAGGCTATAAAGAAAAAGTTTGAGGCAGCAATTATTCAGTGTAGGAAGAAAATAAACTTGAATGTAACTAAATTTCATTTACATCTCAAAAGCTAACTAGTGCATATGTAGCCAAAATTTTGCACAGAAAATCTACGATTTATAAATCGAACCATGCTTCAGGTAGTATCACGGTAACTACTTAACATGCAGTATCTCATTCTGCATTTCATGGGTCATCACCGTAGGAGGACAAAAGAATTTTTTTATTATTACTATTACTTCAAATGAAGGCACAAATAAAGCTCAAAATCCATTATGGTTATAGACCAACACCCTTTCAACCTCCAAAAATTTTCAAAGATGAGACACTATTCAGACACCGCATCCCCTTCAGTCACTATAATTGATGAAACCCAGACGATCCATTGACTTCCTTGACATAATCTAACACTGCATACACCGCTAAGCATTGGCTTGAGTTCTATTTCCTCCATTTGAGTTCTATTTCCTCCATCTCCCAAGTGTGGGTGGAGGGTTTTGAGTTCCAATAGGGCATCATAACTGTATGTGTTGTAGTTGTCCACATAATAATAAGAAGAATAAAGCATTGTACTCTTCCCATGAACGCTTTGAAAAACAACAGCCATCATAGAGCATCAATAGCCTGTTTGATTAAATATAAAATTCATACAACAATCATCCAGGGCTATCTTGGGGTCACTTTTGCAATACTGACATTGAGCAAAATCGAAAATGAAGCTTTAAGATGTGCATGATTATACACGTAAGGAGTAGAAACAAATATTACACAAATTAAAGAATTTTGGTCAAGTTTGCTAATTGTCTTCATGATTGATCCATATGGCCACTGAGCCATAAAAGGATTGTTAAGGATTTATTTTATTACTGAGGATAAGTATTTGTCCTTTTCTCAGTTTATTAGTTTAAGTATTATTATGTTTGTATTGTACTTTTTAATTATTATTATTATTATTATTTTACGATTGAATACACAGCAAGTTCCTCTCCTCTTATTCACTATTCGCTACTGTTAGAATAAATCTTGACAGGGTATCAGCGCTAGGTTCGATTGTGGGAATCATATCACACCTGTTAATCGCCTCTGTTCGTCACTCCATCACTGTCGCATCTCAGCAATCGTAAAACCTAACTGGCGATTGCAATATTGCAGCGTTCAACTCCAATAGCATCGACTCCCTCAATCTCTTCTCATTATTGCAGTTTGATTTTTTCTGAACTCAGCAAACACTAATTGATATCACCTACAACTTAGCACCAGCAGTCAGATCGCATTGCAGCAGACTTCGCTTATCGATGTCGCCCAACTGAAACTCTAAATTTGTAATTGCAGCTTTGGTTCTGGTTTGTGAATCACAGCTGTCGCGTTGTTCTCTTCTGCGCACATATACTGAAGCTGAGTATCGTGCGATGGTTGCTTGGTTATATGGGTGTTCCTCTTCCTATTCCTACTCCCATGTATTGTGATAAGAGTGCCATTCAGATTGCAAACAACTCTGTCTTTCATGGGCACACAAAGCATATCAAGATTGATTGTCATTTTGTGCGCCAACACCTGCAACTTGGCACTATCTCGCTGCTGTTTGGTTCATCTACTTCTAGGAAAACTCTCAATGCTTCTTACTGTTGCATCGTGAGCTTGAGGGGGGTGTTAGAGTAGGATTTATTTCATTATTGAGGGGTAGTATTGTCCTTTTCTCAGTTTATTAGTTTAGGTTTTATTATATTATTATGTATTGTATTGTGCTTAACTTTATTTTTTTTCTTTTTACGATTGAATAGACAGCAAGTTCCTCTCCTCTTATTCATTGTTCGCTACTATTTGCATAAATCTTGACAATATCAAGTAAAAGGGTACGGTGAAAATAAGCAAGTTGCATCCACAACTTGGCTGAAAACAGCTGTTACAGCCCTCTGTAGCTCACAAATCAATTTGAAAGTGTTATAACTACCTACACACTTTAACCACCAAGTTGCATGCTCGTGTTCAGATTACCACCAGAAAAAGCAAGGAAAAAAGAGGGAATTTATGAGGGAAAAAAAAAAAAACTCCAGAAGTCAAATTCACATAAAAAAATAATAAAAAAAAAAGTTCATTATAGCTCACAAAAAAATAATAAAAAAAGTTGATTATAGCTCACAAGTCATCAATCATGACCATGAACACATAAAATAAAAAATGTAACAATACCTCCTCAATTTGGTACCCTTTCCTTGAAGCCCTAACTATCATCTCCATCTGAAAAACATACCCCTTACTAACGCAAGAGCTTATGACATCTTCAAGCACAGATTTCTTATAAAGTCTTCAAACAAGCAACAAAAAAGTTCAATTTCTAAAAAGTTAAAAATGAGATGAATAAGCAGTTTAATATCATAATATATTTATCTCACCGGAAAGAGCCAGTTAAATCTGATACACCAGGCCAAAGAAGTGTGTGTGCAAGGACATTGGCTCCTCTACTCGTCAATTTGCGCATAAGATTCCACCCATGCACGCCACCGCCTTTGACATATCGGGTTCCAGTAACTATACTTGCACCAGTCTCCATCTGCTTCCTACAAAAATTGTTAAAGAAACAGGGCTAAGAAGAAATTGGAACAACTACGCTTATGAAAAGTATAACATGACTCCAGGCC